AAAAATGTAGGTGGGGTAGGTGAATCACCCACACCTGCCCCCACCCGTAGCAGAGTGGTTCAGTAGGATGAGTTCTTGAAAGCAGAGCTGCAGTTATATGGATTCAACATTAAACTTCTATTACATAGTAAATGTGTGGGTAGAAAAAAGGCTCTCCTGTTTGTTTGTTTTTTGTGGGGGTGGGTGGGGATGTTTTAAATTAAAAAAAAGGCCATCGTTATTTTTATTGCATTTCTGTGCTGAAGTTTTTACAGGTGGTGTAGTTTTTCTGCAGAGTGGTTCTACAGGTCAATACATCATCAGGTGGTTACAGAGTTACAAGGTTCTTTCCAATAAAACAGTAAAACAAAGTACTGATATTAGACAATACATTTTGTACTTTTGAATACTTGAGTATTTTTTAAATGCATGTACTTTTGAATGCTTTTCAAAAGTAATGCTAAGAACTTCAGTATTTTAACTTGAGTAAACTTTTGACTGAGCAACTTTTACTTGTAGTTAAGTAAGATTTGACCAAGAATTAATACTTTTATTTAAGTATTAGAATTGGGTACTTTGTCCACCACTGATTTTCCCAGTATATTTTAATATTTCTTATAATTATCCATCCATTATCTCTACACATTTCTTCCTTTTCGGATCATGGGTGTGTGTGTGTGTGTGTGTGTGTGTGTGTGTGTCACTGTTGCCCATGTCCAGCAGTCACTGCGAGAGGTGGGGAACACCCTAGACAGGTCTCCAGTCCATTACAGGGCCAACTGATATGTTGCCTTAGATTAATTAGGTGCCATTAAGTTTTTAATGTGCTTTGATGTTTCAGGAAAAATATAAAGAAAATCTAAATGTCATTGTTTGGTCAGCTTTTGCATGATTAACATCTATCTCCCTATATGTCCTGCAGCTTGAGGAAAATGCCTCTTTAAAAAACAGTCATCCATCTGGCTTAAAAAAAATAAAAAAAAAACCTCCAAGGATATTAACAATTTCCTTTCAGAGTTTTTTTTTTTTTTTTTGAATCAGCTGTCACTTGAAGGGGCTACAAATCTATAAATAGCCTCACCAACGCTCACTAATACCTCTGACATTTACAGGATGACCCATTTGTTTCTCATCTGGGCCTTCGGAAGCTGAGTTGCACGTTTTGTTGTGATGACAGATTTACACATCAGTCAGTTCTCATTCTGGGTTCTGCATGGAAATGATTGATGTCCTGTGGAACGGAAACACCCGAGGTCAGAAAATACTCAGTAGTTATTGCACTATGCTGTTATATTTGAAATTAGCCATAACATGCTATTATTAGTAGGCTGCTGTATTTAGTTATTTATTTAATATTTATTTAATATATCCATTACTGGGCAGCACGCTGGCACAGTTCGAGTTGCCACCTCTCAGTTAGCAGGTTGACCCGGAGTGAATCCCAGCTGGGGGCCTTTCTGGGTGGAGTTTGCATGTTCTCTCTGTGCTGGTGTAAATGTGCAAGACAGTCATGTTCCTCTTCAGTAGAAGGAAATCTCAAAATACAGAAAAGATCAGTTTACTGGTACTTTGTTTTGCTTTGCTGGACTTTCTGGGACACAGAAACTGTAGCTAGTGCACTGTAGTTGTCAGCGACTGTGATGAAGTGACAGCTGGAAACAGACTGCACACACATCTGGAGCATTTGAGCCACTACTCTGATTTTTACCTGACATCCAGGTCAATATCATCAATATATTTTCTTTACACAGTCACATTTACGTTTTTGTGTCAAATCTGCACCGAAGTTTTATCTCTTTCCAGAGCAGATTATTAACTGCTTTTTGTCAGATTTTCTTTTTTGTTTAATAAAACTGTTAATGTTTAATTTCATCACTGTGATGTTTATAGTTTTTAGTCAAATCTAGAGTTTAATTGCTTAACAAATACCAAAACATTTCAGGAAACGTTTTATCCTCAAAGTTTTATACTGCCCTCTGCTGCCGACAAAAAACCCACTCCTCACAACAGGAGGCCTTCATGACTCCTGAATGTTTTCTTCCTCATGAGGACAAATTCATAATGTATAACAACAGTGTTTTATTTGCAGCTCAGAGTCAAACCTGACAATAACAACAACAACAACAAAAATGCAGAGTGCAAAGTAACAGGTTTTCATGGTGTCTAACCTGCTTCTGAGAGGATT